TAGTACACTGCTAAGTTCTTTATGATAGGTGTAACAGCTAGTACACTGCTAAGTTCTTTATGATAGGTGTAACAACGACTACACGGCTAAGCTCCCGGTGATAGGTGTAACAACTAGTACACTGCTAAGCTCAAGGAAGGTTTGATTGAAAAATAGTATAAAAGTGAGCGACGATCTATCGAGTGACACTTAAGATTCACGAGCAGCCCCATTCAACTTAAGAAGAGAAGCAGTGTACTGACCAATTCTTCAACTTAAGAAAAATACTAGAAAGTAGCCAAAGTTCGGCGAAAAAACGTTTTTTGGTCATTTCAAAAACGATTATTCTAAAGTAACGTACACTTCGGTAACAAAGCATCCAGTGGTCATTGTGGAAAATAATATATTCATGTGGAGTAAAGGAAGATAGTACATGTTTCAGTGATCGAGATGTGGTCAATATAATATAAGAATGAATATAGTAAAAGTAACCTACGATTAAACGCCATAGTGGTCAATGTACTAAAGACAGAATGATTATAGTAATTAGGCTACAGTTCTATATCAAATGTCCCTGTGGTCAATATAAGGATGAATACACAAACGAAACGTTGATAAAACACAACACTGTCGTCAGGTTGATAAAACACATTGTGTATTCTTACCTCTCACAAAGCCGGAGAGTCCAGCTGGCGATAATCCAGAGGGACAACATAAACACAAGCAACACTGTTCCGGGACATATCGTCATGAGGGTCTTAAGCACAAAGCGAGTGTTAAAGTTGATCCGGTTTAGGGCTCCGATACTGCGGGAAGATGCGTCCGTAAACAATTTGCTGTGTAACAACATCACCCGACATATGAGGTACAGACGTAAAAACATGGGCAACGATAACGTCACGTCGACGGGCACCTCGGTCGACTCGACACGACCCCCATGATTCGACAGTTTAGTGGTCCATATGAAATAATGCTCCCCGGGAACTGGGTGTACAGCACACACGGCCATTTCCAGCAATATTAGGCCTACCCTCTTCCATGTCATCGCTATCCTCCAGTCATCAGCACAGTTGTCGATCATGAACAGCTATGAACGAGAAGAGAATATAATTCACTTTAAATACTTCCTTGATCACACGTTTCTTTGTTTATAAGCACAAAGCTACACTATATGTGCTCTGCCGTTGTAAGCCCTCAGATTTACCGATGAGCCACAGGGAGGCTTTGGGTGTAATAATAAGATTGTTTGTTTTTAAGAGCAAAGCCACACTGGGCTATCTGCTGTGTCTATCGCGGGATCGAGCATAGGATTTCAGCGTTGTAAGTCCGTCAACTTACTGCTATCCCACCGGGGAAAGTAATACTAAGAAAACCATTCAATTATACAAAATCATGGTTTCTAGAAAAAGGTCAAAACACAGTTATACGTAATAACAGCAGGTAACTTATATGTTTGTTTGTTTGTTTTGAATTTCGGGCAAAGCTACACGAGGGCTATCTGCGCTACCTGTCCCTAATTTAGCAGTGTAAGACTAGAAAAAAGGCAGCTAGTCATCACTACCCTCCGCCAACTCTTGGACTACTATTTTACCAACGAATAATTGGATTAACAATCATATTATAACGCCCTCACAGCTGAAAGGGCGAGCATGTTTGATGTGACGGGGATTCGAACCCGCGACCCTTAGATTGCGAGTCGAGCGCTTCCTAACTACCTGGTGGCCATGCCGGGCCATCGAGTGAATGAGAGATTATACAAACAATTCATGGTGTAAACAACTCCAGCTAAGATCAGTAACTGTATGGTTAGAGATATTCTCAATATAGATATATTAACTATGAATTTAGCTTTCTGCTATGTATCCTACAGAAACACTTTTTTGAATGTTTCACGTTTCCAACACCTGTTCTGATGTCGATATTCAAAATGGTTTTATAGTTTATTTTTTTTCTCCAAGTTTGATTCAACTGCTCGTATTTAGTTATTACAGATTGACACATATCTGAATCAGCTTACGGATTTTTAACAGACAAAAAATATCCCTACATTTGAAATGTGAAGAGGTCGTTGTTATTTGTTTATTGATAAACTCAAAATTAAACAATAGGCTGTCTGTGCTGTGCCCACCACAAGTATCGAAACCCGATTTTTAGCGATATAAGCCTTCAGACTTACCGCTGAGCTTCGTATAGCATTTTTTTTCTTTTGTTATAAGCTATACCATTACACCGGTACCGTATCCACACTGAGTGGCTTCTTACGTCGAATTTCTTAATTCATGTCTGGAAATTACATCAGCAACTTATCACGTGACCCGCACTACTTCCGGTTTCAAAACGTAACAATCCACCTTTCCAGCACTCTTTTCTATAAGAAGATCTTTGAATAAAAATATTAAACATATAAAATGGAAATGTTATTAGTGAAACTAGTGCTGTGTCCAACACATTTAAAGGAGGTAATGCTTGTAAATGTGAGTGTATTTGATGAGATGTTTATAAAGTGATCGCTAACGTTGAAGGCAGTAGTTTGTTATTGTGAGAATGTTGCATTCTGCAGCCGAGAGTATTTTTAAATGCTAGTTTTTTGTTGTAACAACAGTGCTATTTGTTGATGTGTGATATAACTAATTATCTATCCGTTTGTTAATGATAAACTATGTTTCTCATTAATTACTGGTGTTGGCGATTTCTTAAACCATGCACATTATGTGTATACAGCACTTAGCAACTAATCAGCGCACGCGCACCACACAAGTGTCTGACTAAAAAGTGTCTTGCTACTACAATTTTTAAACGTCCATCGGTTACTGAGTGATGTGTTTTTGGATCGCTTTCATTGAAAACACTTTTTATTTTAATTTTGAACAAACTAAAACAGGCAAAACATATTCTAAGTCTGCTAATGTTTATCACCGCCACTACTGAGTGTGCTAAAGATGGCAAAGGGTTTTCTTGGTAGAAAGTTACTTAATGCTAATGTTGATTGTAGTCTTATATTCTATAACTTATTGTCGTGAGAACGTTAGAACTTCGGTGTTGTTTTATATGTTACAGCTTTTTGTATAACACATCTAACATTTATAAATTTAATAATGGACTAACTGTATTCCTTTAATCCCGGATTACTTCTACTTACCAGGACTTTAAACGTTACTTTAATCCGGATTACTTTTACTAACCAGGACGGGACTTGAAACGTTACTTTAATCCCGGGTTACTTTTACTAACCAGGACTATAAACGTTACTTTAATTCCGGGTTACTTCTACTAACCAGGACTTTAAACGTTACTTTAATCCCGGGTTACTTCTACTTACCATGACTTTAAACGTTACTTTAATCCCGGATTACTTCTACTAACCAGGAATTTAAACGTTACTTTAATCCCGGATTACTTCTACTAACCAGGACTTTAAACGTTACTTTAATCCCGGATTACTTCTACTAACCAGGAATTTAAACGTTACTTTAATCCCGGATTACTTCTACTAACCAAGACTTTAAACGTTACTTTAATCCCGGGGTTACTTCTACTAACCAGGACTTTAAACGTTACTTTAATCCCGGATTACTTGTACTAACCAGGACTTTAAACGTTACTTTAATCCCGGGTTACTTGTACTAACCAGGACTTTAAACGTTACTTTAATCCCGGGTTACTTCTACTAACCAGGAATTTAAACGTTACTTTA